CGTCTGCTGGGCGTGGCACTGGGGAGCATATTAACGGGAGTGGTGATTTTTGAGCAACGGAAGAGAATTTATGAATCCATTTCTGAGACTCAATCACAGGTTGAATTTTTCGTCTCCGAATTTATGTTATCCTTGGTTAGCTGATACTGGAATCCCTAAAGTTCGTATTAAAAATTCTTATTGTTATCGATTCGTCGGTAGGAAATTTCTATATTGTTGGCGTGCATTGTGTTTAGTAATTAATTGTTTAGTTGAAATTTTCATGAGAAATTTTGGTGGCTATTTTAATATTGTAGTTTTGGTGTTTATGTTGTTGATGCCTGTTTTCAATCTGAAAATTGTCGTGACTGAAAATGAATGCGTAGATAAAGTAGTAGGCTGTGAACTTGCCAAATTATTCCGATTCTTGTGTTGGAGATTAGATTAGTGTATAGTTAGTGGAGACAATTGTTTAATGATTTATAATCACCTCTAAAAACCCAAGATGATTCATGTAATTATTACCAATTTTTTGCATCTAACTCTGTTCATTTCAACTGAATCTTAAGGCCTTAAAATTAGTAATTATTATGAATAAAAAGGTCAGATAAATCCAAAATTTGTCACATATGGTGTAAGAACAGCAGCTTATTACTCATGTATCCTGAATTCTGCCTCAAGCTTTGTTTTCTCTATAGTATGTATAAAGGTTTAATTGTCAGTATTATGATTTTCTGAGAGTAATATTCCACAAGATCTGTGAGTTATGGATTTGTATAAAATTTGGGACGATGTGTTGCCTTTGAAATTTCAAAATCTCATGAAAGATGTTGTTTGAAGTTGTAGCTTCTTTTAATGTTTTCCTGTCAAAAATTACATTTTTAGTAGAATGAGGTTTACGATTTTATCTTGGCTCTTACCGTGCCACCCTTTTCTACAAGGAAGCATGTTTCAACTCCGAAGTATGATCTTTTCATCATTCATTAACCAAAAACAACAATGTTAATCAAAGAAAAATAACATAACTAACTAAGAATGTGTGAACAACATAAATGTTAGAAGTTCCATAGTTGATCCCTACAATATACCCCTAGAATATATTTAATTATCTTGCAACACAATGATGATAGATTCAGGGGGAAAACATGTCTAGATTCAAAGTCATGCAAATTGTAGTACCATTTCACCACTCTAGTACAAGCTATAATGCACTGACACGGAACGGATACGTGAGCTAGACATCATATGTGTTGGACACTTCGAGACGCGATTTTTAAAAAAGTACTGTACGTTGATTCAATTTTTATGAAATTCTTCATTCATACAATATAACTTTACTTTTATGCTTATTTTTAATTTTTTTTTTTATGAAATCTTTTAAATAAGAGTACCTATTTATTATATTATAATAACTTTGATTTAAAACTATATATAAGTTATAACTATTGCCATAGAAAAAAATTGATTATAGTTGAATATCCGAGAAGTGTCACCCTATTTACAGAATCTATGCAATATAGATTACAAGTATATTCACCGGAATTCAAGTTTGATTATTAACTAGAATAAACTGCCATAATCATGCTCAAACTTTTCTATGTCAAAATATAATAGATCTGAACACCTAAAAAATAGAAGGGACATAAGAGAAGGTACTTATTTGCTGTATTGTGATTGGTTTTGAGTCTCTCGGATGGCTGTGAAATATTGCCCATGTTTGGCCCCCATTTTTTAATACTCATTTTTCCTTATTTTCATTTTCAACCGCACATCTCATAGGACCTATAACTTTTATCGCCTTTTCAACCAAATATTTCATCAAAATCAACTAACAATCTGATTTTTAGCTAAACCAAACAGGGGTTAATCTTTTACACCATATTCTCTATTCCCTTTCAAAGGGTAGTACTTTTTGAGAATTGAAGTTAAGAGGGAATTGGTAGATTGAGAGATGTAAACCCATTCTACCTTGTGTTTTAGGTTTCCCTTCTGAGTGCTTCTGATTCTAGTTTCTGTTTTCACTTTAAAATGTTGAAAGCACTAATGCAGTGTCTCCTGAATACATGTCACATGACTTAGTTTTGGTCCATGAATGTAAGAAGGTGCCTTACAACGTATTATAACACGAAACTCCTATTGTAAGCAATTTTTGCTTTTTTAATAGATTACAACTTGGGCAAACTTGATGAGTGTATGTACGACTGTATGTTAAGCTTATTCTGCAAAACACACACACATATATATAGGTTAAACTTTGCTCTCCTTTTCTGAAATTGGCAAGTTTAATAAAATGTCTAATGATTAATGCGAGTAGAGAATTTAGCTACAAAATACCTTTATTAACATAACTGGTGAACTTTCAATTTCTTTTCGAAACATTTTAGAAGAAAATATTATAAAGAATAATGGGGGAGAGAATAAAGCAGTGGTGGTTAATAAAAGTACCCAGAGAAAATTTTTAGGGTATATTCCTTATTATGGAGACATTGAATCCAGCGTTATCCAGAGAGGGGTGAGAAAAGGACATGAAGTCCCATGAGCCCATGTCAAGCTACATAAACTATGTTGTTTGCCTTCTTACTGTTAAGGCCAATTTTATTCTTTCTATATGACTAGAAGTTTCTATTGGAGTTTTTGTAGCCGCACGAGCCTATCTTTGGAAGAAGGTCCCGTCAAGAGCTTGCACACATGTGGAACAAAGCAGTGGATAAGACAATGGGACCAGTTATTCAGTCTCTTAGCTCACGTGGATGGTAGAAATGTTTGAATAATTTGATCTCTCTGTGAAAGATTAATTTCTTATTTAAGGCCCTTACAATAGTCGCTCTATAAGTTCCTGTAATTCCAAAACATCAAAGCTAAAGTACTTTGTTATGGACACTGGTAATATCCTGCTTCAAGAAGCAAAAATAGGACCATCTGATGTGTTGACGCTTCGTCCACTACTGTACAATGAAATATTCTTGAAATAACTGGTTTTTCCTTATCTTCATGATAATCTAGTGCAGATTTTATTTTAATGTGACCCATTTCTATTCTCGAGCTCTTTCTTGCTTTATAATGAATCTTTTTGGCTTTTCCTCTACTGGATGAGTTTATTATTGTGCAATATCTTAATTTGCTGCTCAATTCTATTTTCGCATTGAATAATGTCATTTAGCACCAACACTAGTCTAGATGGCACTAACGTGACATTAAATCATAGGTACAATTAAATGACTTACTTAATTGTACCTCTCATTGAGCTTATCATCACGTCATCTAGACTGATGTTGTTATACCATTGATACTAAAAAACATTATTTTGCAAATCTTTGATAACTTGTTGAGGTAGCCTACACTAGTAACAAGGTTTCTGTTTTATTGCGTGATATTATGCGTGTAAATGATTCGCAGTACTTTTTTAACCCTCTTGTCTTCGCAATACCAAGCGTTGCCGTTGATTGAATGAAAATGAATCTATTCCAATTTTGACGGGGGTTGTTCCAATTCACAATTCAGCCTGTCATCATCTCTGTTGAACCTTTTGATTTTTCTACGAAGTCGTGCATACTGGAAACTTTGGATAATAGCTTGCATCACATTTATAGACGAAAATCTTTTGTGAGTGATAAATTGGATCCACAGGTACATCGTAGAGCATCTTCAAGAAATTTTCTGAATACAAAATGCTATTTATTTTAGAGAATTGGTACTTAAAAATGAGCTTGAAGAGATTTTCTATAATGACTTTTTAAAATATATAGAGTGAGTTTGTGTCTTCAAATTTAGAGAGTCAAACTCTTTCTTTAATCTCTATTTTTAATATGCAATGATTGTATTTAATAAATCACATATTTCAATATTATATTTTTTAAACTATTTAAACTACATTTAAATTTATTGGTCAATTGACAAATAAAAAATTGTGTAAAATAAAATACAAAAAGAGAAATTAATAATTGTTTCTTGAAAAAAATAAAATGAAGAGTCAAACATAGAGAGTGTGTTGGAATGTGTAAAAATTGACTCTTTAAATTTAAATATATTCTCTGTAATAGGTAAGATGTTATTAATAAAAAAAAAAGTCTTTTGAAAATGTTCTTATAATGCAGTTCAGTAAATTGGATTGATTATTTGATTATGAGCAAACGGGATTAACAGAAAGAATTGTATCTTGTAAAGTTTGATGTACCAAATACGTCATTTCCATGGGGTTTATGTGTCACGGCTGTCATATCAAGCTTTTCATTAATACTATGACGTTTGTACCTTTTCAAATACTCGAAAAAATTGGTTATATTATAGATCTCCAAGTATATGGTACACACATTTTCATAATATCCAAGCAAAATTTATATAAAAATCTATCTAAAATTCTGTTGGTATGATTAAGATATGTTTGCATTAATTTTTCTAGTAGATATGCACGTGAACTGGACAGCGATGAAAAACGAATCACGTCGATGAAATGATACAATCCCTTGCTCATTTTCATACATTCATAATCTCATCATTCTGTTGTGAAGTTTGCGTAGGTTTATTATTTAATCCAGGTAATGATACTCTCATGTTACCTTTTCTTTAATACCAAAGCCTTATCTATTTCTATTAATACCAAACACGGCAATGCCCTTGACACAATGATGTGATTGCCAATGGTGAAGTCGACTGAAACTCTTCTATTCAGACTTATTTTAGAAAGAGTAAGTTCTCTTAGTATAAAATGTAACTTCAAAAACTATATATTATATGACTGAACAAGTAACTTTTAAACACAATAAAACATAATCATTTTTACTAATAAACCAAATCTAGGTACTGAAAACACACTCATACATTACTAACTGTAGCGTACCGTACTTCTGCCTACAATCCCACAAGACACTCAAATTAAGGTAGCAAGAAGTTGAGAGAGAGAGAGAGAGAAAGGAAAAGCTCGAATTATGTATACTATTGCCACTCCAATGGAGGTGTGTATTAGACCTGAGGTTGCCGATCAGGTGTAGCTTGGCACATGTTGGATTGCATTTGATCTCGGGTTAGTAAATCCCCGTCGAAACGAGGCATGCAAACGCAAAAGCAAAAGGAATACCAGCAACTCCATTTGCACCTAACAGATTTCCACCAGTCGACGTGCTTTCATGCGCACGAGCAGATTGCACCACTGTAGCTGCAAGGGGCAAGGATGAGCAGTCTGATGAGTCACAGGGGTTCTTAGTATTTGGCCGTTGCATGTCCGCGTCGAAAAACGCATATGCTTCCGGTGAGGTAGCCGCCGTGGGACTCTCGTTGATGAGCCCATGAACTCGATCCTCGGCTTGGGTAATGAAGAGCAAGGAAAGAATGGTGAAGAGAAGCAGAGTGGCCATTGGGGTTTGCTAACTGAATGCTGATGGAATAGAAGGGTTTTAAGGGCGTTTACATGCCATTTAGTGTTAGCTTGGTTTTATAGGGCGTCCAGACTCCAGTGGATTTGCTTGGACTTGAATCTGATTAAATAATGGATCACTTTTTAAAGCAGTTTATCTAACGGTAACTTGGTAATAAATGGTAGTCAATTCATTTGAGTCACTCAACTTCGTTTTATTCATATCTTTTTACCAGTAGCATAGTTGATGATAAATTTTATTGNATTGCCAATGGTGAAGTCGACTGAAACTCTTCTATTCAGACTTATTTTAGAAAGAGTAAGTTCTCTTAGTATAAAATCTAACTTCAAAAACTATATATTATATGACTGAACAAGTAACTTTTAAACACAATAAAACATAATCATTTTTACTAATAAACCAAATCTAGGTACTGAAAACACACTCATACATTACTAACTGTAGCGTACCGTACTTCTGCCTACAATCCCACAAGACACTCAAATTAAGGTAGCAAGAAGTTGAGAGAGAGAGAGAGAGAAAGGAAAAGCTCGAATTATGTATACTATTGCCACTCCAATGGAGGTGTGTATTAGACCTGAGGTTGCCGATCAGGTGTAGCTTGGCACATGTTGGATTGCATTTGATCTCGGGTTAGTAAATCCCCGTCGCAACGAGGCATGCAAACGCAAAAGCAAAAGGAATACCAGCAACTCCATTTGCACCTAACAGATTTCCACCAGTCGACGAGCTTTCATGCGCACGAGCAGATTGCACCACTGTAGCTGTAAGGGGCAAGGATGAGCAGTCTGATGAGTCACAGGGGTTCTTAGTATTTGGCTGTTGCATGTCCGCATTAAAAAACGCATATACTTCCGGTGAGGTAGCCGCCGTGGGACTCTCGTTGATGAGCCCGTGAGCACGATCCTCGGCTTGGGTAATGGAGAGTAAGGAAAGAATGGTGAAGAGAAGCAGAGTGGCCATTGGGGTTTGCTAACTGAATGCTGATGGAATAGAAGGGTTTTAAGGGCGTTTACATGCCATTTAGTGTTAGCTTGGTTTTATAGGGCGTCCAGACTCCAGTGGATTTGCTTGGACTTGAATCTGATTAAATAATGGATCACTTTTTAAAGCAGTTTATCTAACGGTAACTTGGTAATAAATGGTAGTCAATTCATTTGAGTCACTCAACTTCGTTTTATTCATATCTTTTTACCAGTAGCATAGTTGATGATAAATTTTATTGTCTGTTGATTTTAATTTTAATTTTTTTTTTTTTTTGAATTTCAAATATTTCTTTAGTTGGTCTGGTTTTTACCATCCAGCTATTCATGAGAGGAAAAGCAATGAATGATAGCTTATTATGAAATTTTGGCCCTACAGTGGCTCTAAGAATTATGTTGTTCTACTTGAGTGTCTCAGACTCAGTTATTAGGGACTTGTGGTGGGGCTCATCAAAATACATGTACGTAATTTTCTCACTATGTCGAGAAAACGATAAACAATGAAGCATTAGCATGGTGTTGTTGATACAATATTTTCTTTAATCACTTCATATCCTTTCATTTTCGTTTAAGTCAAGACAGTTAGAGTTGAAGACTTTACTACGAATAAAAGTTCAAATTACTCAGTATTACTCGTAAGGTGTCTTTAAAGCATCGTATCATACCCGAAAAGATTTAAAACAACTCTATCTAATCCTTTTTCGATGTTCGTGTAATTACTATCTAGATTTAATTAATTCAAGGTGCTTGTCTTCCTTTATTAAATAGTATAAAATTAATACGATATGTAGGGGGTGGTTTAAGCCATATTATTGTTCACCGATATATGAATTAAGAAAAAAATTCTAAGACCATGTTTGATAAGGGACCTGTTCCATGGAAGTGGGAAAAAGGATTCCATTTTCCAACTTCGAAGCCGTTTGATAGACAATACTTTGTCCATAATTCATTTTCCACTTGCCAACCTCACTCGCCAACTTTCTTGGTTTTTAAGTAATTTGTTTTCTTTGGTTTTGGCGGGAATCTGATTTTCCATCTTTTTTTTTATTTGCAAGTGGAACAAATTCCAAATACAATGGTAAAAAAATCTATTCATTTAATTGACAATTTGCATGAAAAATAAAGTCAAATGAACACAAAAAAATTTCGATTTTTTTTTTTTTTTCTTTTTGGCAATCCAAAAAAATTTTAATATAGATTATAAAAAAAATTATCCCAAAAAGTAACAATTTGCATGAAAAATAAAGTCAAATTAACGGATTAGATGAACATTTATATCAATCAAACACAATTAATTATAATTTCCAATAAAACAATTTTTAGGCAATTCAATTTCCTGAAATTCCTTTTCTTTCCACCAATTTTTCACCTTTACAATTAAACGGACCTCAATTGAATTAATTTACTTGCAAGTAAATAAGAGCTAAGAATTTCAATTATAAAAAATAAATACATAATCACTTGAAAAAAAAAATCATTTTAAAATGAAAAACTCATGTATAAATAAAAAATTAAATATAAGTAAAAAAAAATTGTATATAGGTGAAAATATACGTATGAATAAAAAAAAATTCATTTATAAGTACCAAATTTGTGTATTAGTAAAATTTAAATTATAATTTATAAAATGCTTATATAAGTAAAAAAAAAACTCACTTATAAGTTTAAAAAAATAACTGTATAACTAAAATATTTACTTATAAGTAAAAATCATTTATAAGAAAAAATAATAATTTTATGTAAAAAGGTTGCCTATAATTAAAAAATATTACTTATAACTATAAAATTCAGATAAACAAATTACTTAATAACTAAAAAGTTATTTATAAGAAAAAGTCACTTACAAGACAAATTCACATACATGTAAAAATTGCTCATAAGTAAAAAGTATTATTTATAACTAAAAAAATTAGTTGTGCGAAAAAGTTTACTTTATAATTAAAAATTACTTATAAATAAAAAGTTAGTCATAAGAAAAAATCACTTGTAAGTTTAAAAAGTCTCTTATACTTTAAAAAAAAAATTTGCTATATGAAAAATCACTTACAAGTATATAAAATTTACATATAAGTAAAAAAACTCATTTACAAAAATACATATAAGATAAAAAAGTACTTATAAGTAAAAATATGCACATATAAGTAAAAAATCACTTATAAGTTAAAAAAATTCTCTTATATGTAAACGCTTTACTCGTGCGTAAAAAAAATCACTTAGAGTTAAAATAATAATAATAATAATAATAGTAGTAGTAGTAGTAGTAGTAGTAGTTGTAGTAGTAGTAGACGACTAGTGGTAGAGGTTAAAAAAAACAAATGCAACCTAGTTTTAAAAAAGGGAAAATTACACAAAATGCTACTTTTCAAAATCAATATTCAAAAATTAGGTACGAAGTTTCATTTTTTAAAAATCAGATATTCATTTAATTACTATAAATTAATAACAATATAAATTAATTTATATACACTCCCCTACACTATCTACCCCCAGCCAAACCCTAAAATCAATTTTTCTCTCATCTCCTCTCTTGTCTCTCTACTCCAACTACCGTCGCCGCCACAGGCATCGACGCTTCTTCCCCCCCTCTCTCTCTCTCTCGTCTTCACTCTCCCTTTCGTCTCTTCATCCCCATATCTATCCCATTCTCTCTCTCTCCCCATCTCTAATGCCAACCAACTGATTCCGACATCTACAACCCAAGTCACCCTTCCCCATTCCATCATCTCACAACAACGTAGTTACAGTGTCGTCGCTCGTGGCTGCCTATGGCAAAAAAAAAAACAAATTTGAGCAGCACATTCGCGATTCTTCCTTTGACGATGTCGTTCCATGAAAACCATCAACTAGGTGAGACGAGTTGGCTAGTTGGTGAACACGACCCCTTGCAGCTTAATCGTCGGGACGATCAAATCTGAGCCGCTACGCCTGGTCTCGAGACGTGGTGTTGGTTGTTTTTCTAGGTTGTTGTGTTCAATGTTTGTTGTTTTTTTTCCTCTTTTATATCTGTTTCTGGTTGGTATGGTGATACCAATGGTTTGGGGATGTTACGCACGGTGGTTGGGTTGTTTCTGTGGGTGTCGTAATATTGGAAGAAATCCCCAATTTTAGCAGGAGGTGGTTGATTGGAATTGCAGGTGAAGGTGGAGGTGGTGGTTGTGTGTTTCTGTTGTTGACGGTGGTGGTACGTTTCTATCGTGTTGGCGTTGTGTTGGTGGTGGCGGTGGTGGGACAACATCTGTGACCAATTATTTAGTTAATTTGTGAACAAGTATTGGTAGTGGATCGGGATTGTGATGTTTGGTGTATGTGACCAACTATTTGGTTTATTGTGACTAACCATTAAACTGTGATCTTAAAATTCGATAATTTGTGACTAAAAAATAAGTTGTCACCAACAAATGTGAAAATATGTTATCGATAAATAAATTCTAACCTATATTTTTTTGATTTGTGACCAATTGAATAAACTGTGACATAAAATTTTTGATTTGTGACCTCAAAATAATCTGTGAACAATTAATTTAATAATATGTGACCAATAAATAAATTGTGACCAATAATTACGTACATGTGACCATTAATTGTATAATTGTGAATTTATTTATTTAAATAATTATTATTTTTAATTAATTAACTGAATACATGAGTTTTGCATTTTTTAAACTTAATACGTAATTTTTGTAATTGTGAAACTTAATGTCTGAATTGTTAACTCTTCTCATCAAAAAAAAACCCTAGCCCTTTTCTAACTCAAATCCAATCAATGACTTGCCCACCCACTCAACCCAAAGGTGCAAACCTCCTTTCTGATTCCTCTACTTCGTTCAACTTGGAACCTAGAAACCTAAATCTATTCATCTTTCAAATTCTAATCGGACATGGGTCAATTCTCCTAGGTTCAAACCCCAATCTGGCGTTGACCATAGTAGAACTCCGGATTCCGAGTTCAACATTGTCGACCAAACTTGATTGCACATCTCTGGTTATTTGAATTTC